GAGTAGACTATGATGAAACCTTCTCACCAGTTGCAAAGATAAAGTCTATCAAGGTGATGCTGGCCATTGCTGCATTTCATGACTATGAAATATGGCAAATGGGTGTCAAAACCGCTTTCCTTAATGGGAAGTTGGTTGAGGATGTTTACATGGCTCAGCCAGAGGGTTTTATCAATGCAAAGCATCCCAATAGAGCGTGTAAGCTTGAGAAGTCCATTTATGGACTTAAGCAAGCGTCTCGCAGATGGAATCTTTGTTTTGATGAGAAGGTCAAAGAGTTTGGTTTTCTATGAAGAGAGGATGAATCATGTGTATATGTCAAAGCCAGTGGGAGTATAGTAAGCTTTCTCGTATTGTATGTCGATGACATACTACTCATAGGAAACGACATCCCGACACTGCAGGAGGTTAAGTCCTGGCTTGGGAAGTGCTTCGCTATGAAGGACCTCGGAGAGGCTTCCTATATTTTGGGAATAAGGATAGTGAGAGACAGAAGTAAGAGACTAATAGGACTTAGTCAGAATACTTACTTGGACAAGGTACTAAAACGTTTTAGTATGGAGAATTCAAAGAAAGGGGAATTACCAATCCAAAGTAATGCCAAGTTGAGTAAGACTCAAAGTCCGAGTACTGAAGTCGAGATAGCAGAGATGAGCCGAGTACCTTACGCTTCCGTAGTCGGCTCAATCATGTATGCTATGACATGTACTCGCCCTGATGTGGCCTTCTCTTTGAGCATGGTCAGCAGATATCAAGGGAACCATGGCAAAGCACATTGGACCGCATTCAAGAATATTCTTAAGTACCTTCGGAGGACCAAGGAATGGTTCCTAATCCTCGGTGGGAGTGATGACTCAAAGGTGCGAGGGTATAGTGATGCCAGTTTTCAGACCGACAGGGACAACTACCGTTCGCAGTCGGGCTGGGTCTTTACCCTTAATGGAGGCAATATGGTTGAAGGAGCGGTTGCCTTGACTAAGGAACCCAGGGATCATGGCAGATCTTGACATATCGACAGAAAATATCACTTTATTCGACATCGGGTGGAAGAAGGACTCCTCGTAGTAAAGAGGGTGTCGTCGGAGGATAACCCAGCAGATCCGCTTACGAAGGGACTAAGCAGGGTTAAGCACTTGCAACACGCTAGGAGCATCGGGCTGAAAGAAGATATTAGTTTAGATTATATAGTTTAGAAACGTGTAATAGATAAATTGTAATTAACATTTGATGATTAAATAAAAGTGTATTATTTATTAGTAATGTTACTGTCTTATGTTAATCTTTTACCTATTGTTTCATTTTGCATGTTTTGACTTCCTGAATAATTGAATTATTTGATAATAATTGAATTATTCGAACGGTCCACAGTCGTTCATATGTTGGAAGTAGATACGAATGAAGATTGTCATGAATTGGTGTGTAGAGTGTCTAAAGTGTATTAGACATAGCAAAAGTTTGCTGCAACGTTCATGAGTGCTTATGAACAAGTTTTGAGCATTGTAATAAACCCACGCTTGCTGGAATCACTTCATGGAATTTATCACGAGTGATCGCAAGACGGTAATATCATATGGTCTTAAAACCTAGATATATGGTTTATTATTTGCTAATTGGTTGTGCATTGATAATGCGTAAACGCATAAGTAACTTGATGTTATAAAACGCATTGTTGTGTATGATTTGACTAGTGGATAGTAGATGCATATAAGTCGAAGTTTATCTGTTCCTTTTATCCTAAGAGGGTAAAAGCGATATCAGGGCCCCTCGATGATTTGATTTGACTTATGTGTCGGGCCCGGTCAGGACTGAATTGATGTGTTCGATTAAGTTCTATGTCAAATGAATATGAGATCGAGAAACCAACTGCTGGACAATAAGTATGACTATGTTCCATGTAATTGTCCGCACGATATCTAGAACAGAGGATTATACGATCCCTTATCTAAAGGACAGGTTACTGATAAAATCAGAGTTCGACAGCGTCTTTGAGAGCTACGATTGCTAATCGGATAGAGTTTGCATTTATAGTTACTAGACTTATCCAAGTGGGAGACTGTTAGATTAGTGTCTAAGCCCATAACTATATTTGGTAAGTACTTGACCCGGTTGTGCATGGTCCTTTTGGGTTGCCTTCACCATAGCAACTTGACAGGGTGATTTATGGAAAGAGAGAAGACATTATGGTTTATTAATATATTATGAGAATAATATATTAAAGGAATAATCATATTATTTAATTAATATTAGTTATAAATTAATTGAGAATTAAGTTGGTGACTAAAAGAGATTAATTGAATAAAGGGGACTTAAACTGTCAAATGTGTGATAGTTGTGTTTTGGGCTGGGAAACCCAATGGAGCATGGGGTGAACGAAATTATGATGGGAGTCCATCATATTTTCGTCCATGGCCTTAATCCAGAAGGTTCCATGGGCTGCTTGGTGATTAAGTTGTCCATTAGGGTTTTGGCTGAAACCCTAAAAGCTCACAGTATAAATAGATCCCTTGGGTTATGGAAATCGACTACACTTGCTTCCTTGGAACCCTAGAGCCGATTTCATACCTCTCTCCTCTCTCCAAATTGCCCTCTTGCCAATTGGTGTTTGTAAGCCATTAGAGGAGTGACACTTGTGACTCTAAGCTCCAAGAACAAGAAGATTCAAGCAAGCAACAAGAGGTAATCATCTAGATCTGAGTTTCTTATGTCAAATTCGAATTGTATACACTAGATCTAGGGTTTGCAAGACTTGGATAAATTGCATATACAATAGAGAAACCTAGATCCAAGCATTAGGGTTTGCATGTGCACATAGGAAAGTTCTTATGGCTCAAACCCATCAGTTACATCATTTCTTGGGTCTTCAAATCATATCTAATGCTACTGGTATTGATCTCTCACAACAACGTTATCTCTTAGACATCCTTGATCGCAACAAAATGACCGATGCTTCACCACTTTCCACCCCAGCTGATCTGGGTTCTCGTTTATCCAAAGATGGTGAAACATTTCATGATCCAACATTGTTTCGTCAAATTATGGGTTCACTCCAATATGCTACAATCACACGTCCCGATATTGCATATGCAGTCAACTAAGTGTGTCAATTCATGCACTCCCCCACCATTCAACATTAGCAAGCTACAAAACGCATCCTTTGTTATCTAAATTGCATCATTGTCTCTATTTTTCACCAACCAAAGTTGTCTCTCTTCTTGCCTACTCGGATGTCGGATGGATTTCAACCCACGAGGACAGTCGGTCTTAATACGGATATGCAATCTTTCATGGTTCCAACCTTATCAATTGGAAATCCTGAAAACAATGAGTCGTGACACGATCAAGCACAGAGGCAGAATACCGGTTCTTAGCATACACACCAACTGAGTTATTGTGGCTCAAACATCATACAAACGAAGAGTTCCAAAGTCCCATAAGTCAGCAAATCGGAACAACTCTATGGTTTGCCTTTTTGACCCTTGTTTATGCTCACAGTAAGCTCTCAAACTCTTTTCTCTTATCTCAATTTACTAAAATATTCGATCTTTTGAGCATTAAATATCAGTCTTCACCTTTCTAACAAACACCCATAAAAACTTGGTAATTTGAAACTGTAGGGAGAAGTTGCAAAGTAATCTTTCAGGATTCGTAGTAACAATTTGGTTGTTCGTGGTGCTTGTGCTCACGTCAACCTACACTGCAACACTGAGTTCACTTTAACGGTACAACAAATTGGAATGGAGGAGACCTTTATTGGATTCTTGGGTCTTTCTTCAGTAGGACTGTAGGACGAGTTGTCTTTACAATAGTTATGGATTAAGTTAGACAATAAATTTCGGTAGAATTTTTTTAGTGGGAGGGGTACAATGTAAAGTTTGATAAAATAGAGGAAATGGTAAAATTGTAATTTTGCAAAAAAAGTTGTTATGTTTAGGAGGCAGAAATATTTTTTTTTAGTTTGAGGGGGTAAAATGTAAAGTTTATTAAAATAGAAAAAAGGATAAAATTGTTTATTTATAAAAAACCATTGTGTATGTTAAAAATCTGGTGTGTACTATCAGCTTCCAAAAAATTATCATCATGTTATAGTTGCTGTGTTTATCATCATGTTATAGTTGCTCTGTTCGAAAGACACAAATAGAAATTTTGTGGTCATCACCATTTGTTATGTTATGAGTTGCAGTTATCATTTTATGGTCTTTGGTTTTTCTTTAAAATGCATGCTATCATTTTGAAATGTATTTTTTTTAAGTGGGAACCACCTCATTAAGCAAACTTGCAACAAAAAAAGTAGTCATTTATGAATATTTGGTTATTTTGTGATAAATGTCTAGACATGGTCATTTGGTTACGTACATTATCCCATTTTGGTGTTTTTGTGATTACCTTTTTGCAAAAACTGATTATGACTATGTTTTTTTATTAGTATTTAATATATATACTAGTCGTTTACCCGCGCCAAGCGACGGGTGTGAATAGTTTTTTAGAAATTAGTTTCTAGAGGGGATTAGTTCTTTTGCGCAAATAGTTACTATATTTAAATAATTATCAATAAAAGTTGTGCTAGCAAATACGAAATCAGTAAGAATAAAAAATAAAGCTTTCAGATTGTAACAAACGGGAAATAGATAAATCGACGCTTAGACGGAGACCTTCAATCGATCTAGGCGGTCAACTGACTAATCAACGCCTAGACGGTGACTCTTAAATGTAATGTAATTTATTTTTCAAAATTAAAATTGAGAATATTTGAAAATTTTAATTTTTTTTAAATATATAAAAATTGAGAATTTCGAATTCTTAAAAATTTGATTTACCAAAATATATTTAAACATGTTTACAACTTTAATGGAGAAAATCTTCACAACGGTTAAGATTTGCCCCGATTTCCACATTTTTATGCTTCATTAGTCATTAGTCATAGTTAGCTCAAAGCAAAAGCCGATTAGGTAGCATCATACTTTTATTAATTGTTATTTCAACATTGTACTTTAAAGAATCAACCCAAGAAAAGAAATGTCATCAACCTCAAGTTACATGCTGTCAAGTAGTAGACCCAGACATCAAGATGCCACCAACAGTTGAATTTCTATCAGATTGAGAGAAAACACAAGACAAAGGAGAGTATAAGTAGATAAAAAGGAAAAAGTGGGGTAATTATAAAGATCTTTAAAGTATGTACCACTGATTGTCTGTAATGTGTATCCACTCTTGGAGGGTGTCGAAAAGACATTATAAGCCTATACAATTTTGGTGGTTGTTATTAATTGGTCATGCTAAGTACACTTGTACTTATAGTATTTAATAATCATAATCAATTTGTACAAAATAAAGGGAGATACAAGGTTAAAATTAATAAATCAAAAGTCTGTTGCTAAATTAAGTTTGTAGTCCGCTACCAAAACAGATTTAAACAAAATTGAAACTTGAAACTTACAAGTTTGTTACTAAACCAGTTTTAAACACACCACAACCGTACAATTTTCAAACTCAAAGTAGATTGGTAATACTTGCTATAAAGTCAGCCACCCAACAATCTCGATTTAACCTGATAAACAAAATATGAAAAGAAAGTAAAATAAAGAAGCAAAAAAATAGTTTTAAATCTCAAAAACTTGTACCGTTGCATGTAAGTAAGTATTGTTATAGTGTTAATGTACAATTGAAAAAAAATTCACTGAAATTTGTTGATCCTTAACTATGATTGGCTTCAAAACTTGTCCCACTACCTTATTGCCACCAAGTCTTTTTTTTCCTACACCACTAACATTTCTCAAAATTTACCAACAATTCAGAATAATTTTGAGAGCTATCAACTGGCATGTTATGAGTATCATTATTTAAATTACTTTTTTTTTATTTTTCCTCTTTCTCTACACAGACATGTAAGATCAAACAGAGTCATTCATGTATGAATCCACAGGATAAATGAGAATGCACTTCAAAACATAGAGTCTTGATCTTTCTCGTGTTTGCAATATACGATTCATATAGTAAAGTAATTTCTTTTAATATTTGAAATAAACCTCTTATTTATAAAATACAATACATATTTATTTACCCATTATCACATCTAGCAAAAAACATAATTAGTTATTACCTTCTTTAGGAAAAAACACACAAAGAAGCTTTATTTGTAATGTTGAGCAACGCTTAACTTCCCATGCCTACAATCTGCAGGTTTAGACTCTCCAAGTTGAACCATGAGATATTATTTTCCTTCTTTTTGACATAATAAAGATAGGAACCAGTCAGAATTTGTTTTAACAAAAAGGAAAAACTGAGAGGGTCTCAAAGCAATGCTACAAAATAACCTCTCTCTGAGTGTCTTCAAGCATTTGCACGGATGGTCTTGTAAAATAAGCTACAAATTTTAGAAATCATTATTGTATAAATTCAAAAAAAAAAAGATCATCAATGGCTGAAAACATGAAATTATAATCTTAATCCAAATTTGTCTTGTAAAAAAGGTTAGTTGGTTGAGATTAAATGTGCATATTAGACTAAAATATCAAAATCAGTCTAACATTTTCTATAAAGATGATGGAAGGCGGGGCAAAACAGATTGATATCAAGAATTATTGAAGGCAATCACACTTGATGTCCATTTTCATTCATTTTTGTACTATAATAAAAATCTTGATCCAATAAAAAAATAACTAAAAGGCACTGTGTGAGCAAAAAGGAAACAAAGGAAATAGAAATAGAAAAAAAAGTGGAAAGAGGCAATACATGGATAGTTTTGAAGCTACATTATCTAAGTATGATGTTGAAACTATGATGATGGGTTAGTTAACCAGGACACACTACCACCATCACTTCTCTTTACAAGAAAAAAACAAACCTTAAGAAATCAAAAACTAAAACTATCCAAGAAGAAAAAGAAGATCCATACCATCATTGTATTTTAAGATCTGACATGTCTAGACTAACAAAGAGATTGTTTCACAATTTTGACCTGGACATGGAAATGAAAAAAAAGAGAGAAAACTAACCATCAGAAGTCCAAATCGTTGTCTTCTCAAAGTGCTGACATTCAAAACCCTATAGAGTGACATCTTTGTTTTTTCCATATCCAATTTGTAAATCTACATATCATTATAAAAGGAATTAAAAAGAAAAAGAAATAAAAAAAAATACCAAAAGTATACTACTTGACCTCATAAATTAAACAAAAACATGAAAATAAGAACATTGACAAAAAAACTCAAACCTAGGAAATAGAAATCCATGAAACCTTGGAGGCATTGATGCTTATGTGAAGTATACTTGATTTGTACAACAATTCAACATTAGGTTTCATAATAGAGACATTTGCAAGACATTGAGACCAAGTAAAAAACACAATTTTTTGATCCGGAAGAAAGAGTGTATGCAAGGAAGTGATAAATGTATTTATTACCTTTGGCTTCCAATCCATGTTGAAAATGATAGTTGTAGCGACAAATTGAAGAACACCTCCAACATGTATTGTTTTTTCTTGGTTACAATCCTTTGTTGTAGATATATATGAGTAAGTGTCAAATTATAACGATATATAGAGATCACACAACTTACTTATATGATGGACAACTGGTTACCCCATTTCTTCATAGCCTTGCCATAAACCCCAAAACATAATGGAATCATTTTACCTATCCCCATATCCACATATAAGCATCTGCATGATTTTTTTTAAAGAAGAAGAAAAGAGTGGTAACCATAAATAAATAATTTTAAAATTCACAAAACCCAAAACCATTCGAACTTACCTTTAAAGAATCCAGAAATGGAATTGAAAATTACTGAAAAAACATTGTTTAAAGGTCATCTGGAAATCTTTTGCTAGGAAGCAAAGATGTTGCTGGAAGATTTGCGTGAGGAGGTGTGAGATGAATCACAGTCAAAAGAAATTGACATAAAAAAATAACTAAAATTCAAATAGACTACCGAAACACACCTGTTTATAATGATTCACGAAATCAGGATTGACAAACTGATCGTCCAAAAGCATAGAAATAATCTGAACAAAAATCCACATATTGTATGAAACATTCAACAAATCCATCAAGGGAAAACAAAAAATAAAGTAAGAACATAAAGAAACTCTTGAATAACCCACCTCGACCCGGTTTATACTGTGAGATGTCTGGTGGCGATGGTGGAGCCACTTTAGGGTTAGGGTTTCCGGTGTGCGATGGTGGCGTTGATGGTGGCAGTGAGTAGAGTTAGGGTTTCTCGTCTCGACATAAGGTAGAAGCGGGCGACAGATGCTAGTGAAGGTAACGGTAGCGTCAACAGGTTGGTGGTAACCGAGGCTATCGGAGATTGAAGAGAGTAAGGAGGGACACGGAGGAGATTCAGGAGAAATGACGGCTGATGGAAGATAGTAGGGTTTTCCAACATTTAGGCATAGGAGAAACTAAGACCAATAAGTTACGATGATACGCGTGTGTTGTAAGCTTAATAGGATTGTAAGCTTAATAGGATTGTACATCGTGTTATAAGTGTTATACCTCTTAATTTTCAAGAAATAGGCAATATGTTTAATAATATAGTATATATATATATATATATATATATATATATATATATATATATATATTAATTTTTTGTGGCTACTATGCAAAATCGAACAAAATACATGTCTCTTTTGTTGTGACTACCTACATTTAAGTTCATTGATACGTCGTATTGGCATCGATTCACCACCTTTGGTCGCCTCATCCCTTCACATGCCATCGGCTGTTGAGCCTTTATCCATGTCACATTTAACTACCTATTTTTAACACCTTGTCACAAGCGATTAGTACAAATACATAGCTTACATAGTTTAACGTCTTTATAATTTGATCTCCTTGGACGAATTTAACTTTAAGCGGGAAGTGTTTGTTTTGACGGCTAATATGTGGACCTTGTTAGCATATTGTATTTATGTATTTTGTGTAATTCTCATTATAGTTCGGCCCATGATGTTTGGCCCTTATTAAACCTAATGTACCGTGTATATATTTTGGAGGGTAATCTATTGAAAGACACATTGAAAACTATATATAGACGATTTCATGGTATCAAAGCGAATAATACCTTTAATCGTTCTATTCTTTTAATCCATAATATCAGTTGCCTCTCTGCCCTCTGTTAACTTCTTCTCCAATTCTTTTCTTTCTTGATCAATTACACTCAGCATGTCTACCACCCCATCTGATAAACCATCCTCCACCATTAATATCAAACATGCTGTCCCGTTCGTCCTTGATCTCGATCAGATGAATTACTATATATGGCGAGAACTCTTTGAGAGCCATTGCATCGGGTACGGCCTGGATGATCATCTCAAACCAAAACCGGCTCAATCAGACAAAGACAAAACCACCACAGACTCCTGGTTGCACGTGGACTCCATTGTCAAATCATGGATGTACGGTACTCTATCTATTTCTCTTCCCAACATGATTTTTCAAAAGAAGGCCACAACATATGATGTTTGGGATAGTCTAGAGAAGGTCTTTCGTGACAACAAGGCCTCAAAAGTCATTCAACTCGACAGAGAGCTTTGTAACATATCCCTTGGTAATTCCTCCATAACTGATTACTGTAACAAAATTAAAAACATTGCTGATCGACTTGAACATATGGATGCAAAAGTGTCTGAGTCTAATCTTGTTGCTTATATGATTTATGGTTTATCATCTAAGTTTCGGTACATAGCCATTAATATGCGACACATGGATCCACCACTCCCGTTTTGGGATGCCAGATCTATTCTGATCTGTGAAGAGGAACAAATGGTGCAAGATGAAAAACGGGATGCATACCTTATCCATTCCGATCACTCTTCATCGCCCGCCGCACTCACGGTTACACCTCGAAATAATTTTAATCACAACAACAACGGAGGAAATCGCAGGGGTTTTCGTGGTGGTCGCAGTGGACGTCGTGGTGGCCGTGGTGGACGCCGCTACGGTGGTCGGAGTGTTCATGGTGGAGGCCAGTATAATAGCGGCCAACAGCGACAAGGTGGGGGAGGTGCTTGGGCCTACGGATGGTTTCAAGTCCATCATCCATCCAATGGGTCTCCACAAAATGGGCTCCTGCCTAGCTAAATTGGCGCCTCAAATCTGTCAGCATCCCATGGGAGTGGGCCTCGACGGCCATCAACTCAATCACATATGGGTCACCAGCAACATCAGTTCTTTACTTCTCCACAGCCCAACTATGCTCCAACCCATCCGCAGGCTCATCTCATCCAACAGCAAGGTATCGATCCCACCACTCTCCCTCACATGTTTAACACTATGTCGCTAAATGATCCGGGTCAAGCAGATTGGTACATGGACACCGGGGCGACTTCACATCTTCACTCAAACTCAGGTATACTCAAGTCTGTTTCTGATAAATCTAGTATTTTTTCTTCATCTGTGTTAGTTGGTGACGGATCTTTAATACCTGTAACTACCATGGGACACACCACTCTTCCACTACCTAATCCCTATCGCACCTTGTACTTACGCAATGTTTTAATAACCCCGAATATTATTAAAAATCTTATATCTGTACGCCGTTTTGTTCGTGAAAATAATTGCTCAATTGAATTTGACTCTTTTGGATTTCCTGTGAAGGACTTTCGTACCAAACAAGTTCTCATCCGATGTGATAGCACTAGTGATCTTTATCCGGTTACCTCTCCAACTGCTCAAGCCTTCATCGCCATTGCTCCCTCCTTATGGCATCAACGTCTTGGTCACCCGGGTCATCATATTTTCAAATTTTTAGTCAATAATAATTCAATTTCTAGTTCTTTGTCAAAAGAGTCTACTTTATGTCATGTGTGTCGGTTAGGCAAACATGTTAAATTGCCTTTTGGTTTATCTACTTCTGTTTCGCATTTTCCTTTTGAATTGATACATTCAGATGTTTGGACATCTCCTATTGAAAGTTTGAGTGGAATTAAGTATTATGTCATATTCTTAGATTATTTTACTCATTATGTGTGGGTCTATCCAATCCGTGCAAAATCTGATGTTTTTGCCAAATTTGTTCACTTTCGTGCCTTTGTCAACAAACAGTTTAACACGGATATCAAAACCTTTCAATGTGATAATGGAGGTGAATATGACAACACAAAATTTCATCATCTCTTTGCTCACCATGGCAGTCAAATTAGATTCTCATGCCCATACACCTCACAACAAAATGGAAAATCTGAAGGCATGCTCCGCACTCTCAATAATACGGTTCGAACCCTCTTAATGCATGCTAGGCTTCCACCAACCTATTGGGCCGAAGCATTACACATGGCGGCCCACTTACTTAACATACTACCCTCTACCACCCTCGACCATGATACCCCGTATCACAAACTCTTCAACAAACCACCATCCTATGATCACCTTCGTGTGTTTGGATGCCTCTGTTTTCCTCACCTTAATGCTCCTCATAAACTCTCACCACGATCAACTCCTTGTATTTTCCTTGGTTACCCGACAAATCATAAAGGATACCCGTGCCTAGACCTTGAGACAAATAAGATTATAATATCCCGGCATGTTGTGTTCGATGAAACGGTGTTCCCCTTTGGCTCACTGACGCCTAACCGTGCCCCATCCTACTCCTTCCTTGACCATGATAAACCTAACATGAACCATCCACTATTTACCACCCCTATACCACATCATGATCCTCCAATGCAAGACCAACCTTCTGCCGAATCATCCAAATCTATCTCAACCTCTATTGCTTCCCCTACCACACCTACTGGCCCAACTCAACAAACTCTCGGCCCAACGCCCTCTTCAGCCCGTGAACAGAATTCATCCAACCCACCTAACTTCGGTCCACTTCACCACAACCCATCCTTTACATCATCCACAGATTCCTCTTCCCCTAACCGTGTAATCGAATCTACACATCCCATGGTCACACGAGGAAAAATGGGTATTACAAAACCCATACGTCGGTTGAATCTACATGTTTACACCATTTCCTCTGTCCCTAAAAATTATTTTCAGGCTTTTAAAGATCCTAATTGGCTTAATGCAATGACAGAAGAATATATTGCTCTTATCACTAACAAAACTTGGGTATTAGTTCCAAAACCTAAGGAGGTTAATGTTATTAACTGTATTTGGCTGTTTAAAAAGAAAATTAATGTAGATGGTTCCTTATCTCGCTACAAAGCAAGGTTGGTGGCTAATGGCCGTAGTCAAAGACCGGGTGTTGACTGTGATGAAACTTTTAGCCCTGTTGTCAAACCTGCCTCCATCCGTACGATCCTCACGATTGCTGTCACCCACAAATGGCCCATTCGACAACTTGATGTCAAGAATGCTTTCCTTCATGGTCACTTGCAGGAGACCGTTTACATGCAGCAGCCACCTGGTTTCCGAGATCCGACGCGTCCTGATCACATGTGCTTACTTCAACGATCACTCTATGGTCTTAAACAGGCCCCGCGGGCATGGTTTTAGCGCTTTGCGACATTTATTTCTAACATTGGTTTTGTTCATAGTAGGTGTGATTCATCTTTGTTTATCTATCGACATGGCTAGCATATTGCATATTTGTTACTATATGTCGACGACATTATTCTCGCAGGATCATCCACTCAGTTGCTTGCTTATTTTATCTCCTTGCTAAGTGGTGAGTTCTCCATGTCCGACCTCGGCGATCTACATTACTTCTTGGGGGTCTCAGCTGTTTGATCTCCTCATGGTTTGTTTCTCTCTCAACAAAAATATGCTGCTGAGATCCTTGATCGTGCCTCTATGTCGAATTGTAAATCTGCCTCCACTCCTGCTGATTTATCTGCCAAGTTTGATGGCTCCGGGCCTCCTGTTGATGATCCCACCTTATACCGCAGTCTTGCTGGCGCTTTACAGTATCTCACGCTTACGCGTCCTGATATCACTTACGCTGTTCAGTAGATCTGTCTGTATATGCATGATCCACGAGAACCTCATTTCACAGCTCTCAAACGCATAATGCGTTATATTCATGGTACACTTTCTCATGGACTTCAGTTGTACTCTTCTCCTAGTCGTGATCTTATTTCTTATTCCGATACTGACTGGGCCCTGGCTATCCTGTGACGAGACGATCTACCTCTGGCTACTGTGCTTTCCTTGGTAATAATCTCTTATCCTGGTCATCTAAACGCCAGAACGCGATCTCACGCTCGAGTGCAGAAGCTGAATACATGGGAGTTGCTAATGCCGTGACGGAATCATGTTGGTTACGTAATCTTCTTCTTGAGCATCATTATATTCCTTCGAAGGTCACCCTTGTTTATTGTGATAATGTGAGCGCTGTTTACATGTCCTCTAATCCTGTCCATCATCAACGAACGAAGCATATTGAGATTGATATTCATTTTGTTCGTGATAAAGTTGCTACTGGTCATGTTCGTGTGCTACATGTTCCCTCATCGTCTCAATATGCGGATATCTTCACGAAAAGCTTACCGTCTTCTTTGTTTCTTGACTTCAGATCCAGCTTGAACGTTCGTGATTCTTCCCCCGTTCAAACTGCGGGGGGCTGTTAGCATATTGTATTTATGTATTTTGTGTAATTCTCATTATAGTTCGGCCCATGATGTTTGGCCCTTATTAAACCTAATGTACCGTGTATATATTTTGGAGGGTAATCTAATGAAAGATACATTGAAAACTATAGATGATTTCAAACCTAACTCAATTTCTATGATCAAGTGATCCATGTTAAATGCTTTTGCTATTTATTTT